TTGCCAGCTCAAATAATATGGCAGTGTCGCAATTTGGTGGCAAAAAAAATTTTCATACAAATGTAATCAGTTGTGTCGAAGGGCGAAAATTTTGCAACAAATACGGCATTTATAACACCTTTGCGACGTTCCCACTAATTTATTTTTATATGGAAGAAAACCGCAACACCTAAATGTTAATATTTTAATTTTTAGCCACTTTAAACTTGCACAATATTACACTAAAATTGAGATGTCCATTAAACTGTATACTCAAAAAAAAAAAAAAAAACTTTAACACTTTTGTGGGGAAAAAATTGCTATTTGGTTGAAAATTTGTGGATTTTTTTTTAGTTTTCTACAAAATTTGAGACATGTGTTAAAATGTGTTTTTTTTTTAGAATGAACTGTATTTTGATTGAAAATTCTTAAGCATAAAGCACCATGATAATGAGTTAACAAAAACGTAATCTTCGGAAAATATTAAGAAAATTCGGCTTAGAAACTATGGGTCCGAAATGAGTTTGAAGTCCGCGCATATTGATGTCAAAATTTCAACTCCATAAATTTTTAAGTATTACATACTTTCTTTTTTCACAAAAATCAAATTGGCATACGACAATATAATATAAGCATACCACAGTGCGCAAAATATAGGTTTATTAAAACAATTTCAATAATCCACTTATAAAAAGTAAACGGACATTTAGCGATTGGCATTGTATTAAAGCCACAGTCTTAAACAAAAAAACAAGTGAAAGAATTCATGTACATTAGGGTGGTCCAAAATGCATGTGACAAAGTAAAGTCGGAAGTTGTATGCTCTCTCAGCCCCTAAGATTGTTCTATACCGTAAAAATATACCCCTACTTTTTTTAAATCAAAAAATATTTAGAGGTCGCTCAAGACGCCCAAAGTTTTCCATGTATTTTATATGGGGAAAAACAACTTTTCGTAGAAATGGTATAGAATTCTTAAAAGTTAATATTTTTCTATCGGAAAACTCTGTTTATCTGCAGGAGTTACCCAATAACAATACCCAAAGGTTTATTTAACCATTTTTTCATCGCAATTATAATTTATCGTCAACAGTTATCAATAAAGTTTAGGTACAGAGAGTTTTTTACAATTCGGGGAACTGTTTTTTAAATATTTATTTTTCGCAAATTTTTTATAAAAAAATGGGTAATTCTACAACATAAACCCCAAAAAATCAGAGTTCCAAACCTTGTGCAAAATCAAAGAAAATTTTGCAAATTTTAATTAAAATATTGCACTTTTTAATTAGACTCCTTAGAAGAAAATTTGGTATGCAGTTTTTTAGCCCATTTAATTTTAGTATAATAAAGTACAAGTCTGAGGAAGGTAGGACTTACCATTGATTTTTGACATTTTTTTTTGTTGAGGGTGTCCCTCATTTTCTCCATATAAAAAAGAAATATGGATAATTATTTTACAGCGTGGCGACGAATAACTGTTACCTCGGTTTTTTTGAGAAATAAAAGGGTCCTTTATAGAGTTTGCGAAAAAAGTAGTTTGTTGTTAATTTTCCACAGATTTTACTTTAGTTGTATTAATTAGTTATTAAATTTTAATCCTTATTTACATTTGCCAGCAGTTTAAACTTTGAGAGAACAGTTCATTTGACACGCAAGTATTTTTCAGGTGTATTTTTTCTTAGGCTTTGTATAAAAAAAATACAAAAATGAAAAAAGCTGTATAAGGTTGGTCGAATGAATGGCCGTCCTAGTCACCAGTTTCGGGTCTATTCGATTTATGAGTATGAGGCCTTATGTTGGACAAAAGGGGGAGTATAAGAGACCCAAAATGGAGAAAATGTGCCTATGGTTACAGGAGATATGGAATAAATTAACTGACGAAGACCTGCGTGCCAAATGAACTTTTCTCTCAAAGTTTACACTGCTGGCAAATGTAAATAAGGATTAAAATTTAAAAACTAATTAATACAACTNAGCGGCTTGTCAAACCTACTTTTCCCATTTCGCCATACACCATGCAAACATGAGTCATTCAAGCACAGAATTTTAGTTTTCCTCCGGTTCACAATGTTAAAAATGTTGGTTTTCTTCCATTTTTCTCCCTTACGTCCTCACTTGGTGAAAATTCAGCAACAAATGAGGCGATTTTACCATCCACATCGCAAGCGGTTTGATCAAACGTCAACATGGCGACCAGAAAATCAAAAAATTTTGATTTTTGCTCAAATTTCCCTCAAGCGGTTTGTCAAACCTTCAAACCACCCCCATTGACAACACAAATGGATTGAAACAAAGGGATATTTCGCTTGGTTTGTCAAGCCGCTTGTGTTGTGTATTTCGCTCTTTAGTCTTGTCATGTAAGACCGTGCGGCAGTATTCCGTAAAAGTCATCGCTGTTTCTATAATGCTAGGTTATCTCTTTCAGAGATGTATGTTATTCAGGAAGATACTTTTCATTATGTTTGTGTGAGTGTAAAGCTTTAAGTGCTGTTTGACTACCCCACAAGATAGCGACTCATTTATTCTCTGTAGGTCTCTCGCCTACGCAATTCCTCTACATTCCAGTACTAATTCTTTAGAGTAGAGCTTCCTAAAATAGGTTCCTTAGAAAAGGCACCAGGGTGAAATGATTAATTTTGGCTGTTAATAATTCAACAGATACATAAGTACAAACAGGGGTGGTTCGTTTACCATCGCTTAAAATGTGGTATGAATAAGCACGGCGGTCGGCAGTCGGTTTTTTAGTTGCACACACAAAGAAAAGTTCTGCGCCATGCACACTGACCGAAGTTGGATTTTTTTTGGCATAAATTCAAGATTTTTATAGCAATATATTCTTGATATCAGTTATGTTGATAAAAGTACATATGTCAACTAAGAAAATTTCCAAATAACAGATTTGAAGTTTCAACCCTGTGCTTTTCAGTGCGCTTTCAAAGTCATGTGTATGATTAGCTGTTATTTTGTCAGAATTGGTGCAAAATTTTTAGTCAATTGTGATGAAAGGTTGCGTTAATACAAATAAACAAAATTAGATATGGAATAGTCAAGCTCAAGGTATTTTTAATAAGAACTAGTTAATGTGCATATCGTGTGTGTGTTTGTTTGTTGTTATTTAATGTATTTGTAGTGCGTATTTAAAAAAATAGAACTAGCAAGCTGACAAGTGCTGACGCGATCTAATAATAAAAAAATGCTTAATAATAATTAGATTTTATTTGAGTAATAACAGTTTTTGCTCATTTTTGCTAATTTTTCCAAAATTTACCATTTTAAGCGAAGAAATCTATGTATCCTCCTTACATAGAATAAAGCAAATTTGGGATTTGTTCACCACGTTAATCCGAAAACTTATGAACGGATTTGTCAAAATTTTTTTAATAGAGGTATTATCTTTAGGCCAGAGAATTTCTATAGGGTTGCCATCTATCTAAAAAATTATAAGACTTAAGTTGGACTAAAAATGAGGTACAAAGTGAAAGGATATGGTCCCAAGATGTGCAATAAGCTTTTATTTTTTTAATTGGGGTTGCCGCCTTTTTTAAAATGATTACCTTACATATAAATCTGTGGTCATAAGCAATAACCGCCTAAGTCGAAAAACCTGAATTCGAGAAAAAACATTTTAAACATTTGGATTGTAATGTTAACCTTATGGGGAAACCAAAATATCTTCGTCTATAACTGTTTAAATAGCCTAGCTGGCGGGATGGAGATTTCACACCCACATGGAATAGCAGTTGCAGAATGCGATAGCATATATAACTCAATATGCATTTTTTGTTAATGGCATCAGGTTTGCACAGTTCATTAAATTTAAAAAAAATTAGGTGGCAAGAGCTTGACGTATAGATGTTCAATAAATTTTTATTTTTTCGTAAGGTTTGCCACCTGTTTGAAAAGTCGAAACAAAAGAGTGCTGAGAAATCTTTAGTTTGAATATTTTAGTTATTTTTGAGCTGTTTTTTAAAATTTATTCAAAAAAAAAAACTAAATTCCGGCCAGTGTACCATGGAAAAAAATCAACATAAAATCCATTTGCCGTTTGAAGGCGGTGTAAAGCTGTAGGTCCCTCCATTTTTGTTACAAAATCAAGACGCACACGACATATGGGGGGAGAAGCTCGGTCAAACACTTAACGCGTAAATTTAAAAAAGAAAGCACATTTTTACTGTACAAATGTCCCATCCGTGACGGTGGAATATCCCAAATACAAATAAGGAATACAATTTTAGAACTAATTAATGAAATGAAAGTCAAATCTATGGAAAATTAACAATAAAATACTCTTCAATTAAAAAAAAAAACTATGTAACAGTTATTCCTCGCCATGCTGTAATTTTGTACTATTTCTTACTGTGTCCAGGAGTACTGTAACAGACTAAAAAACATTACATTGGTAAGGCTGACGCCAAAGACACACGACAGTCTCATCGTTTGTGCGCTGACAACCACTTGATGTTATCATTAAATTTTTTGCTACAAAATGCTTAACTTTTAAAAATGAAGGATATATCAAACACTTGCGCTACTTGCGTGGCCCTTATTAGGCGTGTTTTTTTTTTTTTACATGCATATACATCTACGCTTAAGTAGTAAAAAAAAACGCATCGAAAATTTCCATTTAAAAACAAGTAATTTTGATTTTATCGACAACTATTCATAAGCACACATAAAGTTTGTCGGTTACAGCTCCATACAAATTTTAAGCGCAGATGCGTATGCGTGTAAAAAACACGAATAGTTAATTCTACGCATAAGCGATATACATACATACTATAAGGTTAGAAGATTTAACAAGGTCGATGACAGTTAAGGTTCGGGTGGATTTCTATATCAGGTTAGTTTCTGTGAAAATTGCAGATTTAACCTATTGAATATATCAAGTCCCCGATATATTTATTCTGCACCATGCATACGCACATATTTAAATAGCAACAAACCTTCAGATTTTACCAATAAAGAATCCCTTGACAATCTTCTATTTTACCCTCATTTGTTTGGGATCAAATCACTGTGCAGCTCAACGATCAGATGTGTTGAACGGTAATCTTACGTACGGTGGTCCAGGTCAAATGGCAAACATGGTTGGCGGCAATGTTGCTGTGGGACCCAATGGCCCCTACGGCAATGCGGTTGGCGGCGTTGGAAACTATGGAGGGCCTGGTGGACCACAAGGTGGACTTAGCGTAAATCCTAATAATCCACAACAACAACTTTTAGCACAGCAAATGGCACAGCGTGCCGGTGTTCACCCTATGCAACAGGGCAATCGACCTGGTGTTCCCATGGGAATGGCTGGAGTGAGCAATGATGGTGCACCTG